AGCACTATACTTAGTTTAAACCCGTTTATAGACGAACACGGTATCTTGAGGGTAGGTGGTAGATTGCGCAACTCTAAGGTTCCATACACACAGAGACATCAAGCTCTTCTAGCTTCATCTCATCCCTTGACAAAATTAATCATACGACATGAACACGAAAAACTATGTCATGCCGGTATATTGTCCGTGTTGGCTTCAATTCGGTTAAGATATTGGATAATAAATGGTAAGAACGCGGTTCGCGGCATTATTCGAAAATGTATCACGTGCTTTAGGGCTAAACCTCATTCTAATACACCAATAATGGGCAATCTACCAGAGAAACGAGTAAATCCTTCTCGTCCTTTTCTAACCTGCGCAATGGATTACGCTGGACCCTTTAATATAAAGGACGGAGTAACACGTTCACGCAAAATAATTAAGGTATACATATGCCTTTTTATATGTTTCACAACCAAGGCAATACACTTGGAACTTGCTGGTGATTTAACTGCAGAGTCATTTTTAAATTGTCTTAAACGGTTTACATCTCGTAGAGGACTTTGCAGGGATATATTCTGTGATAATGCCACTAACTTTGTTGGGGCCAAAAATATTCTCGAAAAAATCCACACAGTGTTAAGGACAACTCAAATCTCAAATTATTTGCTTGAAAATCGGATTAATTGGCACTTTATGCCTCCACGCTCCCCACACTTCGGTGGTTTGCATGAGCGGGCTGTTGCGTCCTGTAAGCACCATTTGATTCGAATATTAGCAGATAAAAACTTAAATTTTGAATCATTTTATACCATTTTGACACAAGTCGAAGCAATATTAAATTCACGACCCCTGAGTCCTTTATCCTCTGATCCCAATGACTTAAATCCTCTTACACCTAGTCATTTCCTTATTGGAGCCGAGTTAATTGCTATACCGGAAGGGAATCTCACCGAAGTACCAATGAATCGTTTAACAAGGTACCAACAAATGCAACAATGCGTTCAAGATTTCTGGAAAAGATGGAAAAACGAATATCTTTGCACTTTACAAGTTCGATCCAAATGGAAGAAGTCAGAGGGTAAGGGTCTGGAATCTGGAATGATGGTCTTGATAAAGGAGGACAATGTACCCCCAATGAAGTGGACCTTGGGTCGAATCAAGGAGGTCTTTCCCGGCCATGATGGAGTTGTGCGTGTGGCTGACGTTCTAACAAGGAATGGAGTTTTGAGACGTTCTTGGGCAAAGCTTGTTATATTGCCACTGGACGATGTATCAACAATCAACATTTAATGTTGTTTCTTACTTTGAAAGTAGGATCTTTCAAGGGCGGCGGGATGTCGACACCCTACATTCAAATTTAAAAACAAAAGCGCAAATCATACGCACATGCGTCGTGAAGCCACAGCCAATGCGCGCCGAAAATGCATTCTACCACGAGCAAGCGAATGAACATGATATTCCAATAGTAAACTCGCGTTATTTTTAAGTTGTGTGCCGGCCGGCAAGTGAACGTTTTATTTTATTATTTGTTAATTGACTATATGTGAAATTGTGCCATTGTTGAAATCAACGAAGAAGCCTCCAGACGAAATCCAGACGTCCTATTTGGGGAAGGACGCAGCCAAAGATCGAGCCAACAGAAAAAATATACAGTCCACTTAATATCCAACAAAAACGACCACATTTACACAAAATATAAGGTGAGTCCCCCACATATTTCTTAAACCATAAACAAATTTAAGAATTTCAAGAATGTATATGGAGGGAAGAGGTAAAATGCCCAATGTTTTAAAAACGTTCCTGCACGAGTAGTATGATGGTAGACCCATAATACACCTTAAAATTCTCTTTTGTATAATAAAAACGTCTTTAGCTATAGGCGAAGAGCCCCAAAAACATAAACCGTAAACCAGTCTCGAGTACACCTCCGCATAGTAATAGCACTTAATCTGTTCCAATGTTAAAATGGGTTTTAAAAATCTTATTTGATAACATTTTGAGCTTAACGTGGAGATCAAGTGCGAACAATGCTCATTCCACTTTAAAGTATCCTGGAAATATACGCCGAGAAATTTTACCGCTCTGGAATTTGAGACAGTTGCGTTATTTATAGTAACAGTGACTGGCTCTATGCTCTTTTGAATTGTGTGAAATTTTATACAACTAGTATTGGAAGTGTTAAAGTATAATTTATTTTGGCAGAACCAGTCACATAATTTTGATACGGCTCTGCTACACCTTTCCAAGAGTTTATTATTGTCTCTATCCGAGACCAAAACAGTGGTATCATCGGCGTACATCACCAGACACTCGTCATAAAGGTATGCAGGCAGATCATTCATAAACAAAATGAAAAGAACAGGGCCCAGTATTGATCCCTGAGGTACACATGTCTTATTATCAGTGCGTTCAGATGAGACCCCCATGCATTCAACATATTGTTTTCTCTTGCTTAGGTACGACCTTATCCAATCACTGGCAACTCCACGAATTCCGTAATTTTCAAGTTTATCTAGAAGAATGTTATGATCAACGCAGTCAAATGCCCTGCTAAGATCACAAAATATGCCCACAGGGCACTCACCCACGTTAATAAATTCAACTAGTTTTTGGTAAAAAATGTTTATTGCAGAAAGTGTGGAATGCTTTGACCTAAAACCATGTTGGTTATCTAATAAAATGTTATTTTTCTTTAAATAGCTAGTAAGTCTGTCAAGCATAGCATATTCAAAGATTTTAGAAAATGACGAAGTTAAAGCCACAGGTCTGTAGTTTTCCACACCTTCTGGATCGCCCTTTTTATAAATTGGAATTATGCGTGAAGTCTTCAGAGCATCGGGAAAGGCACCCTTTGCAAAAGAACTGTTAATTAAATGGGTTATAGGAATAATAAGCGGTTCACATAATTTTTTCAATAAACACACCGGAATCTCATCTGGACCATATGATTTTTTGCTTTTAAGCTTGCTAAATAAACCCATAACTTCCGATTCAGTAAATGGCATAAGGCACATACTATGGGATAATTTACTCATATGCGTTGACATTCTAGATATGTTTGGAATTTTGCTACGTGTTGTTTTAACAATATCCACAAAAAAATTATTAAACTTGTTTGTAACTAATTTAGGAGACTTTATAATTTCATTATTATGTTTTAGGTGAATATTTGTTAGTTTTTTGTTACCTTGATGAATAATCTGCCAAACAGTTCTGCTCGGATTGGCTGAGGAAGTAATCTGGTCTTGGTAAAACTCTTTTTTTGTACAATTAATTAGTTTTTGATGATTGCTTTTAAATTTATTATAATGTTGTTTTGCATATTATATTTTCTTTTTGTAAAAAATACATATTTTTTAGTTTTTGGCTAGATATTATTATATTATTGTTGATCCATGATTTTTTGTTGTTTGTGTTAAAATAAAAACCTTCACTTTAGGAAAATTAAGCTGAAAATAATAGTTAAATATTTTAAAAAACATATTATATTTATCGTTTAAATCCTTCAACATAAACATATTAGACCAAGATTCCCCTGACAAATCCAGACAGAACTGTTGAATCTTGTTAACACCATACCTTCTTTTATAAGTGGATATAGGTTCTGTTTTTAAGTTTATGCCTATTTTGTAAAATATATATTTATGATCTGAAATAAGATTATCCAAGGTTACAAATTTACAGCAGTTGTATTTGTTTATGTAAACATGATCAATTAGTGTTCTACTATTCCCACACACTCTGGTGGGTTCAGTAATAATTTGTTTTAAATTGAATGTAGACATTATATTAATTAAATTTTTTGTGTTATTATTGCTGTCAATAAGATTAATATTAAGGTCTCCATTTAAAATTATTAAACTGTTGTGGCAATAAATATATTCCAAAACTGCATATAGTTTATTTAGGAATAAATTTAAATCGCCCGATGGAGATCGGTAAATTGTTAAAATTACAATATTGTTTAAATTAATTTTACATTTTAAAGCGCATACCTCGATTTTTTTTTCCTCGCAGAAACGGTCAAGGTCAATTGCTTGGGCATTTAATTTGTCTTTACACCAAATTGCAACTCCTCCTCCGATTTGTTTATTTCGAGAAAAATGCGAAAGTAATTTAAATGTTGGAAAGTTAGCGTTTTTAATTTCTTTACCTGTTGACCAGGTTTCTGTCAAACAAATAAACTGTATACTTGTATTCTTAATATCAATAGTGATTTGGTCAATTTTATTACTGTTAAGAGATCTCACATTACATAAAAGAATATCATGGTCCAAGTTACTGTTGCTTTGTTTTGTAAAAGTTTCTTCGAAATAAATAATTTTGAATACGGATTCCAGCAGGCCATATTTTTGGATCTAATAAGTTCTTTTTTTGGTCTTCTTCAACTCCAAGTTTATAGGAATTAAATGTTGTATTGTGAACTTGCTGAACTATAAAGTTGTTGTTTGGAAATTTGTTTAATAAAAAATTCTTGAAATTGTCTATTGTATAGGACGTTTTGTATTTTGATACGAACAGCCAGTGCCTTTTCTCAACAGCTACATCATTTAATTGTTGATTAGTGCCGACAATTCCTAAATACGTGGAATTTGTTTTGTTTACATTTTTTGTTTGATTTACGTTGGCTGTTTTATTATCGGTATTACAGTTTTTAGATGAAGCGCTGATTTCTGACATTAAAGGTATCGATATTTGTGATGTATTTTTATTTTTAAGTATTGGTGTAGATGGCGTATTCTGTATTACTTTATTGGATTTTTCGTTAGCTTTTTTAATTTTATTTTGATTGGAATTTAAACTCTTACTTGTAAAATTCGTGTTTTTCACTTCCAAATCAACTTCTAATCTCAAAATTTTCACGTAGAAGGTCATTTTTCTCATCTTTTTCCTGAATTAAACTTGGTGTAGATGGCGTATTCTGTATTACTTTATTGGATTTTTCGTTAGCTTTTTTAATTTTATTTTGATTGGAATTTAAACTCTTACTTGTAAAATTCGTGTTTTTCACTTCCAAATCAACTTCTAATCTCAAAATTTTCACGTAGAAGGTCATTTTTCTCATCTTTTTCCTGAATTAAACTTCGCAGCAATCTATTTTCAGCTTCCAGCACAGCATTTTCACGCAATAGAGATTCCATAATTCTGTCTGGAGTATTTAGATTGCTTTCCAGGGCGTTAATGACAGTTTCCGATGAGTTTTCCGTTGAATTTGTGGAGCTGGAGAGGTTTGCATCATTAGAGGTTAAGTCACCACAGCAAATAAATTCTTCGGAGTTTATGATTTCCACGTCTTTTAACAACTTAACACAGCTTTGGTGAGACACTGCACCACAACTAACACACTTTAGTCCATTTTGAGCTACATGTTTGCATCTTTTACATGGTTTGGCGATTAATTTTTCGGTGCACTTTAAATTAGCTGTTTTAGTATCCGCCATCTTGTTTGCGTAAATTATTATCTTAGCTAGAAACTAGCCAAATTTACCATTTACTATTTTATTTTTTCCACGGACCAGCAAAAAACTAAAGACCTTAAAACTGGCATGTTAGCTAGAAACTAGCCAATTTACCATTTACTATTTTATTTTTTCCACGAACCAGCAAAAAACTACAGACCTTAAAATTGACATGTTTCTTAAAACCTAATGTGAACATTTTTATTGTTTCCCATCTGACAGGAAATTTGAGCGAATCAAAAATTATCTGGAGAAGATCTAAATGGGGCAATCGTACAAGTATTGGGGGCCAAATCCCAAATTTATTATGACCGTTTAAAGTTTAAGTTACTCATGCGCGTGTCTGTATTTATCAACTTCACAATTTGCCAATTAGTCATTTGATTTTAATTTAAACTTCAATTTTTACATTTTAATAAATATTTACAATTTAAAATTATAATTTAAATAATTATAATTTATAGAGTTAAGACCTGACTGTAGTTCTTACTACAATATAAAATTCATCATTATATCATCAATTAAGTACAATTTTCCTTAAAAAATACCTTAAAATAAATATGGCTTATTGGCAAATATTAAAGTATGTAAATATGGACTACACAAATAAGTCACTCAAAGTTTGAACTACCATTACTTTTAAAGTCGAGCTAAACTTTCCAAATTCAATGGGGGTTTTATTTTACAAAATCCTGATCAGTTCCAGATAATTTTTATACAAATATATGTATTATGGTGAAGTACCGACACTCGGGACGCTTACTTAAAGCTTTTGAATTTTTAATTTTGTTCGCAGATTACACTCACTTCTACTACTTCTTATCATGTGCATATCAACTGTTAACCTCTCCTGGAGTCCATCCATTACACTGTAGGTAAATTTACAACTCTTGAAATATCACAGCTAAACGCCCGGAAACGTAGATTTCAAATCCGTGCTCGGTTTAGCTGCATCTGGTCTAAACAGTTTTTCCTAGTCTCCTAGTGAGGCATTGACATGTCCATTCTTCAGTTATGATTTAACCCAACTAACTAGGAAAGGTGCGTTTGGCATGCAGCACATCGCAAATTGTTAATTGTTGTAAAATGCTCCTTCTACATTAAAAACAAACAGTGCTATTTTCTTGTTATGTAATGCTGTTTCGGTCGACCTTCCGCTTCTATAGACATGTTAATTCCTACAACATTAGTGTCTTCTTAGCACTTCTTCTTGCGGTTACTACCTTTTAAGTGTCTTGAACATGAAGTTTGTAAGACCTATTGGCCTGAAGGTTTTTGCTGCCGAGTAGACGTTTTTCTCTGCTTTAGGGATAAATACCACTCTGTTGGCTCTCCAGACTCTATAGCCAAACTCAAAACACTTTTCTCACCCTTTCAATGGCATTTCAACGCTATACTATGAATAAAAAATACTAAAAAAAAGTCTGACGAATAGTTTTTCAGTTATATTATTTTTGTTATTTTAATATTTTAAGAAAATTTATTTTCATAAAAGTATAGAAAACGTTTCAAAAATAGAAAGTTAAAAATTGTTAATAAAACAAAATTATGCTGATTATAAGTTTTAATTTTTTGACACAAACTTTTAGAAAATACATTGGTCAACAGTTTTAACTTCACTTCCCTGCAATTCCTTGTAAGATATGTCGGAAAAAATATTTTTTTTATAGTGCACATTTTTTGGGACCTCCTTTATATTATATGCATTAATCAAAAACAAACAATTTGTTTGGTCTTGTTTTTAAATTATACATTACCTAAACATTCTAATATATCCATCCGTATCGCCGGAAATTAATAAATCATGGGCTGCTGATCTACTAACTGTACTTATAACGGAAGTCATTGGATAGAATCTGTTGTTCCATACTCCTGAAATAAACATTTTATATGAATAATTTTAATTTATAAGTTATTATGGACTATATAAAACATTTGACAATAAAACGTAAACGGTTGGTCGGTTTAAATTTTTTCGTTTAAAAACACCCATATTGTATATATACAATTTTCTTTGCCGAAAAACATTTTTATACATTTTTAAACTTTTATTAGGTATTTCAAAGCAGATGTTATGTAGATTCAAAATAGGCTATATATATATAGCCTATTTTGAATCTACATAACATCTGCTTTGAAATACCTAATAAAAGTTTAAAAATGTATAAAAATGTTTTTCGGCAAAGAAAATTATATTTTTGACAACAACTAAAGGTGCGCTTAGCTAATATGTAACATTACAGTTACATAACCTATTTGTGGCAAATAGGTTCCTATTTTCCGCTTTTTAAAGTTACATTGTTACATATCAATGTTACGTTGTCGTTACATAAATGCATTATAATTTTTATGTTGTTGTTATGTAACTTTTTAATGGATAACACAGAGATATAGAGGGGGAGAATGAGCTTTAACATGCGCGAATGGGAGCACACTCATAGCCGCCATACGAGGAGCGGTCAAAAATGTTGGTGTTTCTGCACGTTTTAACAGCCCAAGACATTTTATATTACATAAATTCTCACAATATAAAAACACAACCAAATTACAAGTATACAAGAATTCAACTAAACCAAAGATATCAGTGTAGAAAACATATAGAACTTATTTGCAGATAATCAGGTGGTTGTTTTTAGACCTTTAAATTTCTAAAAACAATGTGGTTATTTACTTATAAACAGTGTTGTCATGAAAGATCACGACCAAAAAATACCCGATTATACTCACAAGAGTAAAAAAATAGTTATATTTATAAATTTTTAGCGCATTGGCCCTATTAATTAAGAAGAATGGTAACAGAATAGAATAATAACAATTATGTAATTTAGTATTTACTAAAAAAATTTAAGTTAGTATTTTGATCGAAATTATCAAAATACCCTCTTTAATATTTTATCCTCAAGCATGGCGAAAATCCCGATTTTCCGATAAAATAACCGCGAACGGCAATAATGCTTATAATACTAATAACAAGCGACAGTGGCGTCATCTGTTTATTTTTTATTAAGCTTGCCAGCTGGGATAACAATGTTACATTGGCGTTATAAAAGTGAAACAAAATGTTCGACACTGTACTGTAACATTAACCAAAATGTTATGCGATCGTAATATGTAACATTACAGTTACATAACCTATTGGTGGCGAATAGGTTCCTATTTCCCGCTTTTTGAAGTAACATTGTTACATAACAATGTTACGTTTTCGTTTACATAAATGCACTATAATTTGTATGTTAATTTGTATGTAACTTATTAATGGATTACAATGTTACAGTGCCTTTACATTTTCGCAAATTAAGTTATGTTACATAACATGGCCCATGTTACATTTTTACGTTGCAACGTTATGTTTAAGTAACACTGTCCAAATGACGTACTATGCTCGATATGACAAAGTCCCAGTCAGTAAAAGCGTATCATATTGACATATCGCACATGGGCGACAACAGTGTCATAAGTCGAAAAACTGAATTTTGGGGTTTTTAGTGCAATAAGTGTAAAATTACTCATAGTTTATGCTGCAACAGTGGCAAAAAGATATTTTTGAAATTAATCCCTAGATGAAGACTTGTGTCTGTTTGCAATTTGTATAATCCCAATAATAATTTTCATCAACAGTGTCATAAGTAAGTTGGCTGTAAGTTGTCACAGTAATTTTGTTAGCGTAGGTTGGTAAAATTAAAGTTGTCAACAATAAAAGAATATTTAAGTGACCCTCCTCACCTTAAGGCAAACGGTCGTGTGTCTAGGGTCTCGTTTAACGCTTTCGTACTTGCATAGTGAAGCCACCGCTATCGGTGATCAAATTCATAAAATCAATTATTGATTATACACGTGATCTAACAAAACCAAGTGCAAAAAGGGTGCAAATTGCGTGTGGATTTCTGTAAAAAGGGTGTAAGTGAGGTAATTGGATACAACGAATAATTTTTCCTGGATTACCAACACAGAAACAACACGTGCTAATAGTTGGCTGTCGAGGTTAAGGAATAATTTCAGAACACCTGCCTGTCAATGCACCTGAAGTCCAAGTCTGCATAAACCGGATAAATAAACCTACCAAAATTGGATGACCTTAATAATACTTAAAAACTAAATTTTAATGCGAAATTCGCAACCATCAGGTAAAAATTAATTAGTCGCCAACAGTTGCCATAAGAACAGCAAGCATGACCAAAGAACTCATAAATAAGGCTCACATAAGCAGCCATTAATCACTCAAGTTTAAATAAACACTAGGCAAATGAAACTCATCCTAAAGAAAAAACATCTGTAGATCACTAAGCACATTTAAGGGAACTATAAATTACGTTCTATGCGAAATAATAAACAACCGCACAGTGAGCAACGTTATCGATAGTCGTCCACCTCGGAATCCGACTCAGACAGACACGGACACATACGAACAGGAAGTACTTCAAGACCAGATAGGTAGCAGTGTACTAACCAATTGAGCCCCATTCATGAACCCCAATTGAATGGGCTGATTACTAAATCCCTGGTTGAGGGGGACTCCGGATTGTACTTAGTTTTGGATCAGTTCAATGTCCCTCAAAAACCAAAATGTTTTCCCTCCTTGTCTGCACTCCACTAGGGCGTATGGCCCGGCGACAAAATTCCGGGAGTGGCCTTAACCATCGACACTGTCATCCACGACCTCCCAGGCGAGATTTACCAGCCGGGGTAAAAATTCAGATCCACCAAACACAGGCAATGCTGTGCAGTGGCGGGAAATCAGTGTAAGGCGTTGCCGATGGGGCCATCATATTCTTAATCAACAATAAAAGAATGAATAATTTAAAAATTGATAAACACATTCTTAGCAATACAGACAAATCTGCAAAATTATTGCACATATTTTCAGCAACACAGACATATCTTCAAAATTGATGCACACCTTCTACGGCAACACAGACATATCTACAAATAGCTATTCCAAAAGAGTAATTTTTATAATCTAATTTTTAACTGGCTCAGAGTCT